CAAAGCAACTTGGGTACCTAACAAAACCTAATCTTGTTTTGTAGGTAAAATTGACGACCACTTCAAATCTATGGTATCTCGATAGTGGTTGTTCCAAGCATATGGCGGGAGATATCGACAAATTTTCACATCTAATGCTTAAGGCCAAGGGTTATGTGACGTATGGAGATAACAACAAAGGAAAGATTCTTGGCATAGGCAAAGTTGGTGGTCCACCTTTCACATCAATTGAAGATGTTCTTTATGTTGAAGGGCTAAAGCACAATCTTCTAAGTATTAGCCAACTATGTGACAAAGGCTTCAAGATCAAGTTCACTAAAGATGAATGTTTGATAGAAGATGAAGTCACACATGAGTCTAAACTTAAAGGTAAAAGAGTAAATAATATTTTTATGATTTCCCTTAACGATTTGTCTTTGAAGGTTAAATGTCTCATGGCAAACAACAACGACGCATGGCTATGGCACAAAAGAATCGCTCATATTCATATGGAGCATTTAAACAAATTGATTAAGCATGACCTTGTTGTTGGACTGCCTAAGATAAAGTTCATCAAAGATAGACTTTGCGATGCATGTCAAAAGGGAAAGCAAACAAAATCAACTTTCAAATCCAAGAATATGGTGTCCACTACTAGGCCACTACAATTGCTTCATATGGACTTGTTTGGCCCTTCTAGAACGAGGAGCTTCGGAGGTAATGTATATGCTCTAGTTATTATTGATGACTTTTCTAGATATACTTGGACACTCTTTTTAGTGCAGAAAAATGATGCATTCAAGGAGTTCAAGAAATATGCAAAGCAAATTCAAAATGAGAAGTCACTATCTATTTCCTCCATAAGAAGCGACCATGGTGGAGAATTCCAGAATTCCTCCTTTGAAGATTTCTGTGAAGAACATGGAATATCACATAATTTCTCAGCACCAAGGACTCCTCAATAGAATGGAGTTGTAGAAAGGAAGAATCAGTCTCTTATTGAACTTGCAAGGACAATGCTTAGTGATTCAAACCTTCCAAAATACTTTTGGGTGGATGCTGTAAGAACGACATGCTTTGTAAGCAATAGAGTTAATATTCGACCTATCCTGAAGAAGACTCCGTATGAACTCTTTCGAGGAAGGAAACCAAACATTTCATTCTTTCATGTCTTTGGCTACAAATGTTTTGTCCTTAACAATGACAAAGACAACCTTGGTAAGTTTGATGAAAAATCAGATGAAGGTATTTTTCTTGGTTACTCCTTATCTAGTAAAGCTTATCGTATATACAATAAAAGAACTTTAACTATTGAGGAATCTATGCATGTATCATTTGATGAATCTAACCCCTCCGAGGAGGATACTATTATTTTAAATAATGATGATGAGATTCTAGATATTCCTCAAGAATATGGCTCCAAGACCAACAATGAGAATCAATTGAAACAACAAGAAGAACAAACTCCGAATGAATCAAATGTCAATGATCTACCTAAGGAATGGAGAACCCATAGAGATCACCCTATTGATAAAATCATCGGTGACATAAGTCAAGGCGTTTCAACAAGATTGAATCTCAAAGATGCTTGCTTAAACATGGCGTTCGTTTCTCAAATCGAACCTTCCAAAGTCGACGACGCATTAGGAGACGACCAGTGGATAATTGCTATGCAAGAAGAATTAAATCAGTTCGAGAGAAATCAAGTTTGGGAACTTGTTTCTAGACCAAGTGACAAACACATCATAGGTACAAGATGGGTGTTCAAAAATAAACTTGATGAGAACGGTATAATTGTCCGAAACAAAGCAAGATTGGTAGCCCAAGGATACAACCAAGAAGAGGGAATTGACTTTGAAGAAACTTTCGCTCCGGTTGCAAGGTTATAAGTTATCCGTGTTTTACTTGCTTACGTTTGTTCATTGAATTTTCAGCTTTACCAAATGGACGTCAAAAGTGCATTCTTAAATGGCTACATCAATGAAGAAGTCTATGTCAAACAACCCTCGGGCTTTGAAGACTTCAAGAATCCTTCACATGTCTTTAAGTTGAGAAAAGCTCTTTATGGCTTAAAACAAGCACCTAGAGCATGGTATAACAGACTCAGTACATTCTTATGCGAAAAAGGTTTCGAGAAAGGTAAAGTGGATAAGAACTTGTTCATAAAGAAGATCAAAGGTAACACTTTATTGGTACAAGTCTATGTCGATAATATTATATTTGGTTCAACTAACAAAGATTTATGTGAAGAATTCTCGTTGATGATGCAAGGAGAATTTGAGATGTCTATGATGGGCAAGATGAACTATTTCCTTGGATTGCAAATTAAGCAACTGAAAGATGGTATCTTCATCAATCAATCAAAATATTGCAAGGAACTTTTGAAAAAGTTTGATATGGATAATTGAAAATCAATGCACACGCCAATGGGCTCCGGTACTTATGTTGATCAAGATGAATCCGGTATTTCCATTGATATTACTAAATATCGAGGCATGATTGGCTCACTGTTATACTTGACGGTAAGTCGTCCTGACATCATGTTCAGTGTATGTCTGTGTGCATGTTTTCAAGCAAACCCGAAGGAATCTCACCTCGTGGCGGTAAAAAGAATCATGAAATATCTTAAAGGAATAACTAATGTCGGCCTCTGGTACCCAAAAGGTAATATATGCAATTTAATTGGTTATTCTGACGCTGATTATGCAGGATGTAAAACAGATAGAAAAAGCACAAGTGGCACTTGTCACATTTTGGGAAATGCATTAGTCTCTTGGGCATGCAAGAAACAAGCTCGTGTGGCTCTTAGTACGACCGAGACAGAATATATTGCAGCGGGTAGTTGCTGTGTGCAAATTCTATGGCTCAAGCAAGAACTCCGTGACTACGGACTCGACCTTGGATGCATTCCACTCCGATGCGACAACACAAGTGCAATCTGTTGTACCCCAATTTTTGACCTAAGATCCCATTTTTTATTTTTTCATTTTTTAAGATAAGTCAAGGTCACGAAATACGGTCGGTTTTAACGTCTCACCTTCGAGCTTTGACTATGCGAAGATTGTCAAGTGTTTTGAACATTTTTATCCTATGTATCACTAATTTCTAATCGCATACAAAGGTGTATGTTCATGTTTTCTTTTGTTTCATGTGCAGAGACAGGTCTGAATCAAGAGCATCAGGTGTCGCGCCTCAATTAAGGTTTTGAGTCTCCCAAGCCAGAAGTACGATTGATTGTGGATTCTCGAAGACTGATTCATCAAAGCACACCGTTGCACCCTTAATTTCGCCCCTAATTTTTTCAGTCGCACTTTCATATCGTATTTTGTCATTTGGTCACAATCATTAGTAAATATTTTCATTCATCACATTTTGCATCATTAGTCGTATTTAAGTTGACCAGAAAAGTCAGTTTGAATCAAAGTTTGCATCGTCTTTCAGTTGTAAAATACCCGGCGTTTCACTTCATTCATTTTTATCTGTTTACTATTTTCTTGCAATGCTCCAAGTTGTTTATATGTCAATAATAAAAATATTTTGGTTTTATAGACAGACCGTTAAAAGCGATTCAATATTGTGCGAAAAGATAGCGAGAAAAATATTTCAAGTTTTCACCTCTTACCGATCATTTTATGAATCTGCATGACGCGTAGATTATGACGGTATGCTTGCTTTATTCTTTCGGTACAGTTCGAGGTCTCGTTTTTAACCGTAAACGCCTGTTTAGCCTGATATTTTAATTATCATTTTATTTCTATTTTTGACCTTGTTGAATATTTTTTCTTTAATCTTTGTGACATATAGATTATTTTAATGTGTTCATTTTATTTTTTCGGATAAATTTTCGTCCGTTTTTTATCATTTTTGGTCATTTTGGATCTTTATTTTTTATTCATAAAATATTCAAAAAAATCATTTTAAATGGAGTTAATTTTAATGCATTTAGTTTTTTGGTTATTTTTATCATTTAAGGGCTTTTTGGTCATAAAAATTATTTGTTAAACTATGCTTTATTCTGATTGGTTGTTAGAGAGTGTAATGGATCGATCCAGAAATAGCAAATGAATTGCAAAATAGAAGTGAAATTTCCTCTTGATATGTCTATATAAACACTTCTTTCTTTTCTTTGTTAATGGGGGACACAAGACACAACAAAAAATACACCAACAGTAACATTTGGAACCCATTTTCTATCTAACTCCCTCTAATTATCTCTTTCACTCTATCAAACCCCATTCTCCAATCTCACTCCAAAACCCCCTCACAAAATCATGCTTTTCCCTCGCCATCAATCTCCGCCCTTCAATTTTGCCTTCTTAACATAGCACATTATATATTCACACAGTATACATGATTTCCACACAAGTTTCTACACCACTATTTTTCACGTAATGAATAATTCTTTTCATTGTTTTTAACTCTTCCCGGCAGTATCTCAGTCTGGACCACCAAATGCTTCTGAGAGCCAAAAGGCATTCTACCAACTTCAGGATCCTGGCACATATACTCAGTAGGTTCTTGAGACTGCTGTCATTGAAATACTGTCCCTTCTCGTGTCTGCTTCTCAGATAGTACAGTCACTTGTTCAAATTTTTGTTAATATACAACCAACATTGATCCAGTCCAGCGATTCTCTCCACGTTTCCTCAAATGGTGTGGGGCAAGGTTCAGTGTTGCCAACATCACCTTCAGGGGGAAGCACAGATTCCTTGGGTGGAAGTAGATCTACTCCTTCAGCTTCTGGAGTAAATACCACTAACTTTGCTTCCCGAAGTGGTTATACAAGTCAACAACTGTCTTGCTTGTTGATTCAAGCTTGTGGCCTCCTTCTGGCCCAGCTTCCTCCTGATTTTCATGTACAACTTTACTTGGAGGCGACACATATAATAAAAGAGAATTGGTGGCTTACAGATATGAAAAGGTCACTTGTATAAATAGACTCTGCTGTCGGCTATGCTTTGTTAGATCCAACATGGGCTTCCATTCACAATACCCCTGTCACCGACAAGCTTTTCAGAGCAATGCCGACTCCGATTTGGTCATTTAGGAGCCCTGTAGGAGAGGATGAGGATCTCAATGGAAATGATGGTTATAGTCACAAAAGAGATGCACTGTCGAATCCGAGCCGGGTCAAGTTACAGAAGATCAAACTAAATCATAATTTCCAAGTTGATATGAGTGGATTAGTTGGTATAGGCCCGGCACAAAAATACGATGGGAACCAAGAAGTTGTTAATGTTGTGCTCATGTCGTTTGATTCACTAAGAAGAAGGCTATGTCAACTTGTTGATGCCAATGAATTGAACATGTGTATGTTCAAGCGTACTGATTTGAAAGCTGAGAATGGTATTTCTCAAAGGAATCAACAAATGCTCTCTCAAATACTTGCTAATGCATCTGAACCGACATTTCATCTACGTCATGCACTTAGTACTACTGGTTCTGACTCTGTTCGAAGAACCCATAAATGCTGTGTCTATATTGCTGGAAGTAGCAAGTACTGTACTCGCCTGAATTCTATACAAGCATATCCTCGCCATTCCTTGAGTCGCGCTGCACTGCTTACCAGTGGCAGTCCGATATTTTTCCTGGATGCATTCACAGTTCTGATTGTGTTTTATTCCTCAACTGCAGATGCCATCACTAACCCTGCTCATGAGAACAGCAGTATTAAAACCCGTGTTAGGACGGAAGGTGGGATTCGACAATTAGTTCATTTGCGTGGATTTGCGGATACAAAAGTGCAAAGAGCAGCTGCTGGCAGCATGTGCCGTCCCAAGGTGTGGTGTGTTTGTTTTTTTTTTAGTTTAATTTCATTATTTATCATTAGAAACTAGGGTTAATGTCTTTATGTTGAGTTTGGGCCTAAAGGGCCGATAACATGCTTATACACACCCTTTCTATTTCTTTATACTTTTAGATATTTAGGTTAATGCAATTAAATTCCTTTTAATTAGTAATAAAAAAAATATATAAAAAATATTAGTAAGTCTTATATTTAGATTTAGTTTAGTATTAATTTAGATTTTTTTAAATTAGTTTAATTTTATTTTAGTAACTTTAGAATATTATTTTATTTAGATTTAGAATTTTATTTTTTTTAGTTTTAATTTAGTAACTTTAGAATGTTATTTGTTTTAAGTTAACTTTAGAATTTTAGTTGTTAGTTTTAGTTCAGGGACTTTAGAACTTTATTTGATTTAGAATTAGTTTAATGAGTTTATAATTTTTATTTGATTTAGAATTAGTTTAATAAGTTTAGAATTTTAATTGTTTAGAATTAGTTTAATATTCTTCTAGAATTTTTTTGATTTAGATTTAGTTTAGTAACTTTGGAATTTTTATTTGTCTTAGATTAAATTTAGTAACCTTAGAATTTAATTTAGCTTAGATTTAATTTGCTAATATCAGAATTTTAATTTTAGTCTAGATCTAGTGTAGTAATTTTAGAATTATTTTTATAACTTTAGAATTTGTAATTAGTTTAGAATTATTTTAGTAAGTAATCTTAGAATTTTTACTTAGATAATTAGTTCTATTTTCTTCTATATAAATATCTTTGTCATTTAATTTCTCGATGCCTTTGGTCATTAGTCTGTTTCATTAGATTTGTTTTCTTGTGAATTTTCGAATGTTTATACTTTACTGATTCACCTTATTTTACTTGCTCAATTTACTCCAAGGGAAAGAATTAAATTTGTTGACTTCATGTCATCAAACTCATCTCATCCAATCGTGCGAATACCCTCATTTATCTTTTGTTTGTTTACTGTTTTGTTAAACCTAAGATAATTTTTCCCAAAGATTCAATTTTCAAACTCACACCTTTTTAAGTCAAAACTTCGACACTAGGTCGTCGTATCTTCAAAAATCTCGTCCATACCCATCTTTTAGCCAAACGAATCATTTTAATCAAACAAACAATTTTAAACCAAAAAACAGATATTTCAAAAGGTTCCTGCGGAGTACCGCAGATGCATTGGATGCTAATACCTTCCCATTGTATAACCAACCCCCGAACTCTCGATCTCTTTCAAAAAACGCATTGTATTTTTATTACTTTTAAGTATTATTTTACATTGCATATTTTAGGGTTTTATTTCTCTCTTTTCCCTTTTCCCTTGGAAATAATAAAGCGCGGTGGCGACTCTTGCTTTTGCGAGTCAAGTTAATTAATAGCTTGATCTCCGATTTTCACCGTTACACAATCAACATTACAAAAAATCATGTGATGCATTCTAGAACAAAGCATATCGACATTCTACATCACTTTCTTCATGATCATGTACTTCAAGGAGATGTCGAAGTCACCTTCGTGGATACGCATAATCAACTAGCAGATATTTTCACTAAACCATTGGCAAGAGAACCATTTTTCAAGATCCGAAGAGAGCTAGGCATCTTGGACAAAAATGACATTATCTAATTAAGGTACATGGCTATGATTTTAATCTTAACTTTATGGTAATATGCCTCAATCCATGTTTTTATTACTAAACTTATGATATATGACCATGAAATGCACAAAAATTAAGTATTTTTCACTTTTTCACTAATGACAATCGGTTGTCATAGAGTGACAATCGGTTGTATCTTAAAAATTTTAGATTCTGTCTTCATGAAAATCGGTTGTCACTCCACGACAACCGGTTGCTTCTTCTTTATTTTCGCCCCTGTCTACTTTTTTCAAAAGATGCAATCGGTTGTCATCAAACGACAATCGATTGCACAGTTCAAAATTTTGATATTTTTTTTATTTTTTTTTTCAGTTACACTCTCTTTTATTCTTTCCCTTCCATTGCCATTACTATTATTTATTTTGTACAAGATTCTTATTCTCTTTTTGAATGTTTTAAGTGTTTGGTCAACAACCTTTTAATGCTTAGTCCTTTCCTATGACACAATTTTTTGGATACTTACACACTCAAGAATCTTTATGCTACAAGGCTTTATTGTTTTGACTAAATTATTGAATGCCTTACCTAACCATTGAATGCCTATTTCTCTATAAAAGCTCAACCAAAACCAAAACTTCATATATCCTCTTTTGTCTCAAGAAACCTACAAACACCAAATACCCTTTTCCCCTTCCAATTCTCTCATCCCTCACCATGTCAACATCAAAGAAAGGCAAGGGAAAAGCTTCTTCCTCATATCAAGGTGGTGATCTCTCAAAACTCATTCCATCAAGAAGTCAAAGGGAAAGATTTGTGTCGCACTTTCAGAAGATGGCGGTTCTTCTACCAAGGTTCGGTAATCTTGACAACTTTTATTCTGAATGCTTTAGTTTTCCAGCATTATTTAGATCTCAAGGGATATACAAGTTGATTGGTGTTAATGGACCCATTTACCCCACTTTAGTTAGAATTTTCTCCAGCAATCTAACCATTAGTAGAGGATGCATGATTTCAAATGTCAAAGGGGTTCCTATAGAACTCACAGTGCATAATTTTGGTGAAGCTTTGGGTATTCCAAATGATGGTGCTTGCATTAAACTTCTTTCAAATGCAAATCTGCCTGGCTACAACAAAAGAGACTTCTATTATGGAATTGCAAGAATTCCTGAGCGTGATTTTATTCAGAAAAGGCAAAGACTTATTGGTGGAACTCCGGAGAGGAAATCTTGATTTGCAGGAATTCTCACTATTGATGATCGTTTAATCCACTACTTTTTGGCGTATGTGGTTATGCCAAAGTTCTCAAATATTTCCAATGTCAATGATTGTGAGATGCAGATTTTGTATGCGATGAAGAATGGGATTCAAATCAACTAGTCTTATGTGATTCTACATCAAATGGCACTACATAATGAAAATGCTTCTGCTTTGCCCTATGGCTCCTGGCTTACCCTTGTTTTTGAGAAGTTCAATGTTCCCTTGTTTGGTGAACACATGGTTCCTTGATAACGATAAATTGTATCATATAATTACTACGCTTTTTACCGATTTTTATAATACATTGAGTCGTATAACTCTCGATTATTCCGAGTTTTTGTGTCTTTTCACAGGTACAACATTTGTCAACTCAAATCAATGAAAAGGGACCACATGAAGGAAGCTAACCAAGAAACAGAAGAGAAAGAATCAAATCTGCAAAGTCTACATATTTTGTAACGGTGACGACCGTCACACCCTGTGACGATGGTAACGCCTCCACAACCAGAAGAATGTTCGGCACACATCATTGACGAGCGTAATGCTCTATTTAAGCGCATTACGACCGTCACCCCCTTATGACGACCGTCACACGCTTAAAGGGCAACGTTATGAATTAGTGGAGACGTGGGCAACGTTAAGGGCAGAACTCTTCTCCTATATTTCCTCCACTCAGTAACCATGCATCTGGGTCTTTCTCCACTCAAGCCTTTTCCAAGTTTTTCTCAACTGCAATATTTTCTTCTATACATATATGTGGTAGTTCAATGGATGATGGTCGAAGAATTTTTCCCATAACCAAATTTCTATTTTCCTACAATTATTCTATTTTCTTGCTTTTGAACCTTTTCTACACGTATTGTAATTTTTATTTTCAGCATTAGTTTTAGAGTGTTAATTCTTCATCTAAGAATTAACACAATTATTGATTTCGATTGAATCGCAAGGAATTTGTAACATCCAAGATTACCATAGCAACATTATTTCCAGGTTTTTTTATGCAATTAATATTTATTTATTCTTGTATTATGTCATTTATTTTTATGGATTATATTTTAAATTGCATAGTTACTAAATATATTATGTCCGACTAAATTAATTGTACCGATATGTGACTCCTAAGTACCGAAAGAATTCAGTGGTAACTTGGCTAAAAAGATTTACAAATAATTTCTGGTTTCCAATTTCCATATTTAATTTAACTACCCTTGTCACGAGAGTGAGAGGATAATTAACACGATTTTGCCACGAGAGTGGGAAATTAATTAAGGCAAGAACCTGCATGCGAGAGCTGGGGTTTGACCCAAATAGTGGTAACGAAACGTTATTTTTTAAATACATGAGAGTGTTTTAACAAAATAATTAAACTCAAATTGTTTTCAAAAAGTGTTATTAAATTTAAAGTGCATCCACTAGGTTAAGTAGCATGACTTATTTCATGAACACGAGAGTGTATGTCTCAGGTTTTTAAACAATTCGTTTTTACTGAAATACTTTATATGCCAAGTGATTCACCGAATTCCCGAAGTCCGACTATCACATACCGGTATAGCTATTACTATTATTTTTAATTAAACTGTTTCCCCCCTAAAACTAAATATTCATCGCTTAGTTAAACAATTATAGCATTAGATCGTATGCGATTGATCCTCAGTCTCTATGGGTTCGATAATCATTTAAAACTAGAACGACTAAACTGTATACTGGCAGTTAGTATCCCAATAGACTCATAAAGTCTCGATCAAGTTTTTGGCACCGTTGCCGGGGACTGATTAGTCAATTAAGTACGATTCTTCTGTTGCGTGTTTAGACTAGGCAACAGAAACCCTTTTTTGATTTGTATGCCAAGGACTCGCTCACAAGGCGAACCACTTGACAAATCGACGGACGAACCTGAACGCATCCTTTCTGTAAGACGTGCAGTCAGGGATTACTGTTTAAATCACGCTATTCCTTTACCCAAACCCGAAATTAACATTGATTCCGAAACAGATTCTAATTCTTCCTTTGAAACTGAAACTAATCCAGAAGTAGACATGGCCGAAGAACAAAGGACCCGTCCACTAAAGGAGTACGCAGCTCCATCACAACAAGAACCCCATAATAGCATTGTTTCTCCAGCAATAAATCAAAATTATTTTGAGTTGAAACCGTCATTGATATCAGCTATCCAACAACGCCAATTCTCTGGAGATCCTACCGAGGACCCAAATGAACATATTACAA